AGCTAAGGCACAATTTCGTTGTTGTTTTTCTGCTAAATGAAAAGACAGAAAAGGTGCAAAAATGGGCGGGTAGTGCAATCATTTCCAAGAATCACTGTCTACCTTGAGGAAAAGCATTCGTAGGATTGGAATTTTGATAACTTGTCAATTTCAGATAGTTCAATATCTCTTAAAATACTCCTTTAAATAAATAGCAAAATATCTACATCTTTCAGGTGTGTGCCATTGGAATTTTTTTAAACTTTATTTACAGATTTTTTTTAAATCAATACATTACAAAATATTTCTGTACAGTTTTATGCATATCATGATCTATAACAAAATAGTTATTTTTAAAAACTATATCACCACATGTCTTTGAAAAAAATGAGGGGGACAGTAATAACTTATCGTGAGGCCTCTAAAAAAAAATACCCAAACACACGCTATTGACAACATATTAGAAACAAAAAAAGACCGAGAACGGACTCGAAGGACGGTTGCGCTCAATTCCAGTAAATTTCCTATGAAACCCTAGGGTTGTCTTTGGCCTCCAACAGAGCCTGGAACAACAGAAGGCGCAAGTGTGATCCCTTTGAGAACACGACCCATCGGCTGGGAATATTTAATGCTCTCACTTTCCAGGCAGGAAGGAGGAAGAGAGAAACTGAGAAACTCTCCTGCTTTACCCTTGAACGAAGTACCTCCAAGTCACCACGCCTGGGTGGGGGTGGGGGAAAGAGGGTACCTCGGCAGTGTGCGTGGAGGACGGGCTGACGTTCACGTGAGCACCCGAGCCTTCGTTTCACCCACAGGGACAACAGAAGAGTGCTTCTCTTAAAGACGGCGTTTAGAAGCCATGTGTATGGCATCTGCAAACTACAGACGGGCAGCCTCTCGCTTAGGAGGCTGCCGCGAAAGCTTCAGGATGCTCCTTCTTCTCGGATGTTGGTGGAAGGTGGACGGAGAGGGCAGTCAGCTTTCCAAAAATAATTTTAAGGCCACATTTCAAAAAGGAGAAACCTAAGGCTTTTGGGGGTGAGGGAAGGAAAATGGAGAGGGGAGAGGGGGATGGAGGTGCAAGGGGGCAGAACCTGCTTTTCCTGGGGACTCCGTGGGCAGAGGCAGTGGGGAGGCTTCCCAGCCGGAAGGAGGGGGGCCGCTTTCTCCCTGGGTGGGGCTTGGGGAGGACAGAACCAAAGACAACGTGAGGGGCAGACACAGGTGGCGCATGAAAGCCCTCAGTCTAGGGTCTATAAAGTATCTGATTTGCAACGTAAAAAAAATACTTTTGAGAGACAGAGAAGGAAACAGAGGGAGAGAATTTGCATAGATTGTACATTCAGCTCGAGCAGATTTGGGACACCTAATTGTTTCTCCCCCAGGTAAACTTCTCAGCAGACACAATGAGGTAGCGCCTGTGGTAGACCCATGGGCAAAGTAAGGTAACTGAGGCAAAGAGGGCATCCTGCGAGCAAGCAGGGCTTCCGAAACGTGCGCCAGGACAGCTGCTCAAATGTAGGACTTGGAGAGAGCTGGGCTGTGACACAACCTCCTGGGCCCCCCAGCCAACCTGTCATCCATGACCTCTGCCTGGGCAGGCAGGGATTCTGGAAAGCGTGGGCCTCTTTAGGTTGAAGGGGCAGCGACTGAGGTCTCCAAATTCTTTTTTTTTTTTTTTTTTTTTTAAGCACCATCTTGGGACCTAGGACAGCTGACCAAGCCTTTCCTCCTGGAACCCTTCTCTGCAGGACGGTCTCTCCTGGTTGGAATGACTGGTAAGAGGTTTATGGTTTCTTCAGAGCGATTGGTGAGATTTCACCAAGGGTGGCGCTTTTCCTCCTCCACGTGGGCACTGCCTACCTCATGGTAAACCACCTCTCCAGCCAGCAGGTGGGCCGGCAGTGCCCAGGATGAACTGGGGAATTTCCCTTTGCCCACTCTCTTCAACAAAACAAAGAAAAAGCCTTGCCGACACTTAAAAATCAGATTTCCAGTGACCATCTGGATCCCCTGGTCTCCCTGGCCCCACGGGAAGACTGCACTGTGCCCGCATACTCACGTGCAAAACCAGGCAGCAGCCACCATGCTGTCTTACCCCACGATGGAAGGGTCTGGGACCCCTGCCACACAGCGCAGCTCTGAGCCGGCAGGTGTTGGCCAGCAGCCATTGCCAGTACACCCTCCTACTCCATCCCCCCTTGGGTGCTGTAGGGGAGCTTGCGTCCTGAGTCCCCGGTAGACTGGGCTGTGTCAGGGGACAGGCGAAAGCCCTACATGTCTGTACTCTGCCCCTTCCTGGCAAAGAGCTCAAGGTTCCAGCCGGTGTCCGTGCACCAGCCAGGGAACGATGAAGGCAGTGCATCCACCTGCCCCCTGTCCCCGGACATCTGGGGTCTTGCTGGTTCTCTCTGAATGTGCTGGCCTTTTTAAAAGTTAAACTGCCATGGGGAAATGAAGTCCAAATGATGCCTTGATCTGACCAGAAAGGTCTCTTTCCAAACGGAGGAAAGGGCACCCTGTGACCCACGGGGTCTAGGCTATGCTTTCTGTCCTCCCTGGAGGCTGGTGGGGAAATCGCACCGCATGCCCCAGCCTCTGGCATGAGTGACTTCAGACCTGGTCAGTGACTCAGTGCCCCAGGCGCTGCTGCCCTTCCAACTATGACAGGGTTTCCAGGGGCTTGTGATTAATCACTCTCAGATTAAAAGAGAGTTCACCTATTAGTGTGTCTCTTGTGGAAACATCTTTTCTCAAGTCATCCTAGGCTTTTGCTTATTTTATGCCCTGACCCAAAAGAAACACCTGGGCTGACTGCCTGGCATCTCGAATCCCTTGCAGGGAGGGGGCTGCAGATCGTGCCCAGAGTAAGCTGGCCCTTCCCCTCATTCTGGGGGGAAAGCCAGCAATGTGGGCAAGTGTGGACATGGGGCTGAGCCCCACACAGGACGCTGTGGAAAACACACGCTCCTAGCCACTCTGCCAGGAGGGAGAAAAGGCAGGCTCCCTGGGTGGGCTGGGGTGGAAAGAGGTGGTGGCAGAGGCCTCTGGGCTCGAGTTCATGGACCAATGACCTGGGCTTGCAGAGCAAGACCGTCCACAGCCCCTGCAGCCCATTGACAGGGGCTAACTCCCAGCTCGGTCCGACTACTCCCCCTTTTTATAAACTGGATCTTTCTTCTTCCCAGGCTTGCAAAGAGTCAGGTTCCCTCTGTCACCTGCCAAGCTCCCCGGCTCTGCCCTGGGTCCTCTCCTTCCACCTGAGTCGTTGGCCTGTTTGGTACTGGAGGCCCAGCCCAGGCTCCCACCCTGCCTGAGAAGGAGGAAGGCTTCAGTGTCGTGAGGGGCACCCCACTATCAGTTAGCAGATGCTGAGGCACACACTCTCCTCATAGTGTCCAACACCCCTGCCTTTCTCTCAGGACGTGGAGAATACAGAGCAGACAGGAGACAGACAGACACTGGCCGCGGGGAGGGAGGGGAAGGGGGGGGCCTTTCATGAATAAAGGCAGCTTCAGTTAGTAAGAGAACATAACTAACAAGCTGCAAACGCAGCACCTACTATTAGTCATGGACTAAAACATATAAATAATAAATACTGCAAGTGTCCCTCTTCCAGCCCCTCCCTGGCCCGCAGGACATCCGGCCCGGTGGGGCAGGGGCTTGGGGGTGAGAGGCATGGGCTCTGCTCCCTTCACACTGCACAGCGACACAGGATAGACTCTGCAGCAGAACATGGTGCAGCCACGGGTGGGCCTGTGCCAAAGAAAGCCTGTCGTGGGGACGGGGTGGGGGAGGAAGGGGCCTGGAGCCACGGCTCAGATGTCAGGTTTCTGCACCTCGAGCACTTGGAGTAACACTGCTGTTAAGGTAGTAACCAATCACATCCGCAAGCTTCCCCCTTTGACGTGGCACCTCACAGGAGGAAGGACATGGAGTTAGAAACCAAATCTGAAATGCTTTTGCAGGGATGTAGAAAGTCTGGTCCATTCCTACAGCACCAGGGATGGGGGTGGCAGGTATGATTCACAGAGGTCTGGAGTGCCCAGACCTCAGGGCGGAAGGGCTCACGCACGGGAGGGTATTGCTGTGCCGTCCAGCTCAGGAGTTGGCTCCCAACAATCTCTGAGTTTCATGGCCGTGGTCCCCAAAGTTCCCACTGGCCAGGACCCATGAGGTCATGGTCTCCTGGCCCACGAATGCCTAGGAGACTTGATGCTTATGAGCATCAGCCTGTCGGTGGCAGCCCGGAGGGAGGCTGGCCTGGAACCCTGGCCCTGGGGCAGTGACACCTTGGGGAACCTTGGCCATGTTCCATCAAAAGGCTCTCCTGCTCATCTAGTGACTAAGGAGGACAACTCAACCTGACAAGGCTGGGGGAAGGCTCAGACAGTCTCCTTCTCCAGCCCAGGAGCAGGAAAATGAGCCCAAGCAGGGGGCTGGAGATCAATCAAGCCCACGGTCTGGGCCGTGCTTTTCCAGCTGGCTTTTGCAGATCCTGTGGGTTCTGGACAGGTACCTTGGGAGGTGCCACTGACAAAGGGACGGCCTGGTGGGCTGTGCTTGGAGAAGAACCTTACACTCCCCAGCTTCAACCAGAGCAGCCTGGAGTTCAACTGCACCTTGAACTTCCCCCTTCCAACTGAGCTTAGTAAACTAAAGTCTGCTGCTCAAAATAAAAGTTTTGAGAATCACTTGTCTGGGGGACTGGGTCACTGGCAGGGACAACAAGGAACCTATAGGCTTTGAGGATCAACCAAAAGAGGTAAGACCACTGTGGCGCGGGGACCAAGCAGTCCTTGCCCCCAGTACCCAGCTTGTCAAATGCAGGTCGTCGGCAGAAACGGCTTTGACCTCTACACCTTCCTTCTCCATCATTCTGTAGCCATGAGAGCTCCTCTCACAAAAGACACCCCTCCCCCCCCCCCCCCCCCCGGGGATGAGAGGCCAGGGTCCAGGTGCCACCGGCCCCCCTGGCTGCTTTCCCTTTGAGATCTGCTGTGGCTCACGTGTGCCCAGTGCTACCTGAGCCGGCCGTCAGGTTTGACGGCCCCCAGCTCCGACTTGGGGTCGGGGCTGAAGGAGCTCCAGGCCGTCTGGCTGCAGGTCTGCATGACGGGGCAGGCAGTGGGGCCCGTGGTGCAGATGTCCATGGCGGCCCACATCCCACCTACCAGCGAGTCCAGCCAGCGCTCGAGGCCCGCGCCAGCTGTGGCCGCATTCCTGCGAGCCTGCTCCACCTGGGCAGGGCTGATGGGCAGGCTGAGGACGGGGTTCAGGCTCTGGAAGCTCTGTTCCATGTAGGCGCTGCGGAGGGGCCCGTTGTGCAGCCTCAGTGCCTCCTCTGAAACGCAAAGGGATTAGAGCGTCAGACGCACCACAGAGTGGGGGCCGGCTGCGGGCCTTGCATGGCGCGGGGCACCGTCTGTCACCACGTCAGTCACGGGACAAGCTCGGGAAGTTGGTCAGTGGCCCCCACCGCACAGACGAGGAATCTGACCGCAGGGACGTTCCTTCCCCGGCCAGGGGCCTGCTTGGTGCAGGGAACTGTCCGCTCGTCCCTCCGGTCAGCACATGTTCCCATAGCAGCGTCAGTTACTAGTCCACACATTCATGTGGCGCATTTAAAGCACCTCCTATGTGCAAGGCATTCACTCCTTCATTCATTCATGTGATAAAGATGTATTCAGTGCTGCCTGGATGGCTCTGCCAGTTGAGCACCCCACTCTTGGTTTCAGCTCCACGCCTGATCTCCCGGTTTGTGAGATCGAGTCCCACATCGGGCTCTGTGATGACAGGGCATAACCTGCCTGGAACTCTCTCCTCCTCTCTCTCTCTGCTCCTCCCTGGCTTGCACACATACTCTCTCTCTCTCTTCAACATTAAATCTTTTTTCTTAAGTGCCAAGCTCCACTCCCAGTGGTGGAGTGAACCAGGTAGTCAAGAAGATTACGACCCAGGGGAGGAACACTGATGGCGATAAATAAGCAAGGTCATTTCAATCAGCAATACGCAAAACGGGACTAAACTGGGTGTGACCGTACAGCAAGGGGTTGGCGAGCTACAGCCCTTGGGCCAAATCTGGCCCACCGCGTAGTGTTGTAAATAGAGTTTCAGGGGAACACAGCTATGCCTGTGCATACCTCTTGTCTGCGGCTGCTTCTGTGCTACCACAGCACAGGTGAGTACAGACCGAGACCGTACGTGGCCCACAAGCTGAAAATATTTACTGTGTAGCCCTTTGCAGTAAAAGCTTGCAGCCCCGGGGTTAGAGAGTGACAAGCGTGTTTCTTTGGGATGAGAGGGGCGAGGCAGGCCTCTGTGAGGTGACAGCTGAGCTGAGTGCTGGTTAATGAGAAAGCAGCAGCCACACGTAGATGGCAGGAAAGAGCGTTCAGAGCAGAGGCAACAGTGAGCACAAAGCCTCATTAAGTGCCTTTCTGCAAATCACAGAGGTAACGAGAGGCGGAGCTGAGGTTTGAACCCACGTCTGTCGACCTCAGCTGTCTCTCAGGACAGCCCTGCCTTGCTGAACAGCAGCGCTTCATGCATGAACGCGAAGACGGCAGTCAGGGTGTCTGGGTCTGAATCCCCATGGCCCACACACTTGGGGTGTGGATTCTGATACCAACACTGGGCACCTGGTTTCCTTGACCTAGTACCTTTTGTGATGGTTAGAAGGGTTGACTTCTTTTTAAGTGCTTAAAAAGGCACCTGGTGTTAGGATCGCAAATATAGAAAGAACTTGTACAACTCAACACCAAAAAACCCCCAAATAATCCAACTAGAAATCGGCAGAAGACATCCAGAGGGCCAACGGACACATGAAAAGATGCTCATCATCAGTCATTCTTGGAGAAATGCAAATCAAAACCACAATGAGGTATCACCTCACACCTGTCAGAATGAGGACTATAACACACGCACGTGTTGCTGGAGATGTGGAGGAAAAGGAAGCCTCATGTGCTACTGGTGGGGACACAAGCTAGTGCAGCCACTGTCACAAACAGTATGGAGGTTCCTCAAAAAGTTAAAAATAGAACTGTCCTCCAATCCAGCACTCACACTACTAGATATCTACCCAGAGAATATGAAAGCACTGACTTGAAAACACACATACACCCCTATGTTTATTGCAGCATTATTTACAATAGCCACATTATGCAAGCAGTCCAAGTACTGCTTTATCCATAAAGATAAAGAAGGTATCTTATGTACAGGGGTATTTATGCAGTGGAATATTAGTCACAGAGAAGAATGAAATCTTGCCATTGGCAACAACACGGATGGAACTAGAGGGTATAATGCTAACTGAAATAAGAGAAAGATGAATACCATACGATTTCCCTCCTGCGTGGAATTTAAGAGACAAGAAGGAAAAAAGAGAAACCAAAAAACCAGACTCAAATACAGAGAACATACTGGTGGTTACCAGAGGTGAGGTGGGTGGGGGATGGTAAACTAGGTGAGGATTAGGAGTTGCCTATCGAGATGAGCACTGGGTAATGTATAGATTGGTTGAATCACTACATGTGCACCTGAAACTATAGAATACCACATGTTAATTATAATGGACTTAAAATTAAACGAGACAAAATCTGGTGCAAACACACGCACACAAGCAATGCCGGGCCTGTACTAAGTGCTTGAAGAAGTTTAGCTAGGGTTACTGTGGCTGGTGTTTTTAGGACACAATCCTCCTACACTCACACAGTCACAGGACCGGTGTTATCATCCCCATTTTACAGATGGGGACACAGGTGGCTATCGTGTGAGACAGATCAGGGGTTCAATCCAGGACTGGCTGGTTCCAAAGCTCGTCATCATGACACTCTATTTGCAGGCACATCCAACCAACTGGAAGCTTTAAGACTGGTTTTAAGTTTTTAAATTTTATTTTCATCTGGAAGCCAGTCTTTCAAAGACTTGGTTTCCCCATCTGTAAACTGGATACTCATTCCTGATACCAGATTGACCCCGAGGGCTGGCAAGAGGCTCAGGTAAAGGTTCATATGCTCTGTAAACAGTAAAGGAACACGCAGGAGGCTGTGTGGCTCCTTCCCAGGGTTTCAAGATGGGGGAAGCAGAAAGTGCACGTTTGGGCTGAAGGAAAGAAGCCAAGATACTTCTATTTTGGAGAGGTTCTCTCTTATTGCCTACTCTATTGCCAAATACAAGAACAGGTTTTTTTTTTTTTAATTTTTTTTTTTCCAACGTTTATTTATTTTTGGGACAGAGAGAGAGAGAGCATGAACGGGGGAGGGGCAGAGAGAGAGGGAGACACAGAATCAGAAACAGTCTCCAGGCTCCGAGCCATCAGCCCAGAGCCTGACGCGGGGCTCGAACTCACGGACCGCGAGATCGTGACCTGGCTGAAGTCGGACACTTAACCGACTGCGCCACCCAGGCGCCCCAAGAACAGGTTTTTAAAACACACGGGCCAGTGATTCTGGTGAGTTGTGTTTTAGCAAATCAGCTCTTGCCCTGGCTGAGATAGCCAGGGTTCTAAGAAATGTCCTTATAGGACAGTGTGGCATTCAGAAAACGTTTTCTGTTCCTTTGGCAGTGGCTGTCACCCTCACTGGCAACCAGGAGAGCTCAGATAATCCACAGACTGTTTTCTAGTATGTGGTCCATAAGTGAGGTTCACGAAGGGGGAAGAAATACCATACACCTGCAAATAGTGGCATTCACAACATGCCTTGACTACAGACAGGAAAATCAATCCCTCCCTCCCTTCCCTCAATCCCCTCTCAGTCCCTCCCCTTCCCAGAAGCAGAGTGGCTGGGCTCCAAGGGTAACAGGTACAAGAAGGGGCATGAGCCTGCATGAACATATATCCCGGCTTGCTGTGATTTAGCTGACTTAGGTAGGACCTAACGTGTTTATAAATCTGGCAGACAGGGCGGGTAGCTCCTGAACCATCTGCCCAAGAACAAACCCTGTTCTCTCTCCAGCAGGTCCTGATCTGTCCACCAGAGCCTCTCCGTGCCTCCACATCTGCAGAGCTGGTGGTGGGGAGATCCCTGAACTGACAAAAGGCAGGCCATGCAAAGTGAAAAGAGCAGCTAACAGACATCTGAACGCTGGGAACCCAGTATTATGGGTGATGCAGAAAACCCTGATGAAAAATGAGGTTAAGGTGGGGAAATGCTATCACAGCATTAGCCCGTGACGCTTGCCTCTATAATTAAATTTTCCTCAATTCCACCTCATCAGATTTCTCGAGATTACCAGGGACGCATCAATAGCAAATTACTCCTGATGAATCATTTTACAAACTGCATTGCTCCCACCTTCGTGTTCCCTGCCACTGGAACATCATTAATAGACACAAATGCTGATGTGGGGGGGGGGGACAGCTCCCAGTGGGGTACAATGACCCCTGGCTATTCCTGGGCAGGGTTACAAGAGCCTTGCCATCCTCAGAAACTCTAAGGAGGAAAAACTGGAAAAATCAGGACCCAGTTAAAGGCCCCAGGCTATTTTACTGGGGTGAGGAGGTAGATTCAGGACCCCTCCTTTGTTAGATCCCACAGGTGTATGTGGAGCAAAGAGGACAAGGCTATTTCTACCCCTCTCTTCTGCATCTTTCTTTGGGAACTCTCAGGGATGCTAAAGATGTGAACCTAACCAGGAGGGCACTTGAGGGCCCTCAGTGGGTGGGCTCTGGCCCAGCTAGTTCTGGATGTGTTCTTTTGCCTGCTTCCCAGGGGAGCTGGGAGGATCAGATTTCCTTCTCCAGAAAATATGAGGCCTGGATCTTTCTGCTTGCTCAGCACAGAAACTTAGAAGAGGCCCACACAAGTTCACTTCAACACCCCCTTGTTAGGATTCCAGGCAACCCCTCCCCATGTCTATGTCCCCCTCTCCTTGTGTCACCAGCTAAATGGCACCCAGCCCAGAACTGAGAGTTTAGCTAACCAGAGGCTGGAGTGCGTTTTTGGCTTCTGGGTTTCTGATCTGTTAGATATAGACCAACAATTTCAAATACAGAGAGATCCAGAAATCCTGTTTCTAAGAATCTATTTTATAGATGTATCTGCATGGGCATAGACAATTTCAAGAATCTTTGCAGCGTTACCTGTAACCCCACCACGACCGAAAGAAACTATGTCCACTCAGGGGATGAAAGATAGATTGTGGGTCTTTCTCCCAGTGGAATACGAGGCAGCTAGTAGCTTTATATATATTGACTCGTTAAGTCCAAAGAGAAGTTTCACCCCAAAATGTATCACTCCATTTTCAAACACCAGCAGTGTGTGTGTGACTTATTTTGTGTGTTAATGCTTTAGAAGCCTTGAGAAACCTCTAGAAGGATGAATACCAAAGTGTTGGCAGTGGTTACTCTGGGAGGTAGGACTGAGCAGGGAGGAAGATGTTCCCAGTGATCAAAGGGGGAGGAGGAAAGGACAGAAAAATAAAAGTAAACTCTCTGGGTAAGAAAAGAAAAAGAAGGTGGCACGTTAAGAGTCTGACATCCCTCTCTCTGCTCAGCAGGAACCACTGTCCTGATTTCCTATTAACAACTCGTTTTCTCACAGCTTTTTATGGACAGAGAATCCTGAAATAACGTAGTGGTGGCTTGGCTTGCTTTTGAACTTTAAATGTATGCGCTCTAATTATGACTCTTCTGTGATATTTTCCTCTCAACATTATGTTGTAGAGACTCATCCAGATCAATGCATGGCACGGAGCTCTGCTGTCTGAACAGACCCCGCAGTGTTCATACATCTGAATGTGGGCATCTGCACTGCTTCCGGTTTGGTGCCACTATGAACAATTCTGCTCTACTTCTGCACACATCTGTAGGGCATACACCTTAGGCTGGGATTTCTGGGCAGTAGGAGGTGTGTGTTCAGCTTTGGTAGGAGATGCTATGCCATTTTCTAAACCCGTTTTATCACTTTGCCCCACCCCCCGCCCCATGCCAACACTACATGGGAAGCCATTATTCTCCAACCCTCCATCATATGATATTGTCTAACCTTCGAACATTTCACAACATAGTGGCATGAAATCGGATCTCTTTTTGCTTTTAATTTGCATTGCTCTCATTATTCATGAGGCTGAGCATCTTTTCATATGTGTGTGGGCCATTTATGCCCTGTCCTTTTTTTTTTTTTTCCCTTTCTTTCTCCTTTTCTCCTTGTAGCAGCTGCTACAATCCTTTCTTAAAGGGCCAGATAGTCGGTGTTTTGGATTTGTGGGCCATGCAATCTATGTCACAATTACTCAATGCGGCCACTGTAGTCCCAAGGACCATAAACAATATGTAAATAAATGGGTGTGGCTGTGTCCCAATAAACTTTACTTAAAAGAGGAATGGGCTTGGTCAGTCTCTCCTGGCTTGTAGTTTGATTTATGGGATTTCTTTATATATTGTGAATGTATTTTTTTTTTATGTGTAGCAAATATTTTCTTACTAGTCTTTTCATCTAGTGTATCATATTTTTGATGGAAAGAATTTCCTATTTTAATTACTATTTTTAAAACAGTGAGATTTGCCAAAACTCACTATCTGCCTGGGTTTATTTCCCATCTTGTTTTATTTTTATTTATTTATTTTTTTTTATTTTATTTTTTCCAACGTTTATTTATTTTTGGGACAGAGAGAAGAGCTGGAAGTGGGAGGGGCAGGAGAGAGAGGGAGACACAAATCGAGAATAGGCTCAGGCTCGAATGCAGCCATCAGCCCAGAGCCCCCGTGGGCTCTAACTCACGGACCGCGAGATCGTGACCTGGCTGCAGTCGGACGCTTAACCGACTGCGCCACCCAGGCGCCCCTCCCATCTTGTTTTAAATATAATCAGGGCTCTCTGGAAGTCCAGTGGGAGAGCATCTAATAATTAGGTACCTAATACACAGAGAACATCATCTCAGTGTGCAGGTAGAAAATTAGAAGGCTCTCTTTGCAAACAAGCAGGGAAAAATGCTGAGCAGAGAGCACTGTTCTCTGAGGCAGCCCACATGCCCCCCACCTGCAATGCCTGAGGGAGAAGACCCGGGAGACGCCCAGGATGGATTATTTCCACTCCCAGAGACACTAGGAGTACTCACCTGGTTTGATGGGCTGCCTATTTGAGAAGGTCAGAGGTGCAACGAGGAATTTGGTCTCTGCAACTGGCACCCAGTGGTGAAGAATTTTCACTGTCCAGACCCCAGGCCTCAGGGGCAAGTTCAAAGGGGGCTTGTAGTGAGTGAATTCGGCAGTGGATTCAATCAGGATGTCATAGGTGGCTGCGATGATGTTGACGGGATCCACCCAGATGACAGTCACGGTGACATTGGGGCCCTTCCCCCATTTCTGCATGCCTACCGGCTCATCCATGGGCCCCAGGAGCCCCCCAAAGTTGCGGAAGAGCCGCTCCTTGGCATCCCAGTCGGTGCCGACCTGAAAGAAGAGAACAAGTCTTGGAATCACTGAGCCGGATTTAGGATACAGGGTCCCAGAGAGGCCTACGATCCTGCTTGTTGGGCTACATACACCCATTTTACAGATGAGGAAATGGAAGCTCTCAGGAGGTCAGCTGCTCAAGACTGCAAAAGTGGTAGTAAGCAGAAGATTTGAGATTCGGACCCAGTCTGTGGTCTGTTCATTAAACCACTAGGCCTCCTGGGCCTCATACAGCATTTGACACTTGGAAAGAAAACACACAACATGCACTGAATCAATCAATGCCTGCTGGCAGGCCATCCCGAGGACACATACCCCCACTGCTAGGCAGGTGCGGGCGGTTTCCACTTTGGTTCTCCGTCTTCTAGATCAGGCACCTCCATCTAGTATGACATTCTGAACATGAATGGAGCTCAGGTTTCTGAGCTGCTCTATCACAAGCTGGGAAATAGGAGGGTCCCTCAGCCTCGCTTATTGCTGGCAGTTCACATGGCTCTCCCGGGAAGAGACCACTGTGGCCTCCCTAATGCACTCAGAGCTAGACCTTAGGGGTGGGAGGTGGCTGTGACACCCACCCTTCCTGCCAGCGAGCTGGTGTCTGTGTGGCTCTGACTGGCAGGGGCCTGCTCTTGGCTTCCCTCCTAACACTTGAGTCGCCTGCAGTTTGTTCTTCAGCCAGAGTGGCCAGGAAGAGCCTCTGAACTGTCCTCTCGCTGCTGCTCAGTGCCCCTGTGGCTTGCTTCACTGTGCTTTCCTGGTGCCTAGCACCATGCCTGGTGCACAGCAGGTGTCCGTGTCTGGTTAATATCTATCACATCACTGAGTGAGTGACGTCGCAAAGAAATGAATGGACTACACAGATCCCTGATACTGAGCTGTTACTATTTCAAACCAATTTAAACGAGGGGTCTTCTGCTCCCCCAGGAGATTTAATTTCATGTTTTTGAAGATACAGCATGTGGGCAATGTTGTCAGCAGATAATGAGCACACTCTAAGGCTTGCCTGTTTCTGTGGTCTTTCCATGACCAGCATCTCCAAGGTGTGCGTGTGGGTTGCGGTACAGGTGCATGAGAAGGTGCACCAACACCCCGAGAAAATGCCTCATGTACAGGAGCTGGCTTACTTTCTTGTTCGTGCCACTGGTTGCTGCGTCTGGTCTTTCTCTTAGACCCAGAGCTCCGTGGCTCATGCTTCCCAAGAGCTTACCATGGGACTGGCTTAACGCTGAGCGCTCCAGTGAACCCACTTGTTTGACCCTCTCCGCTCTGTGAAGGGGAGACACCATCATTATCCTCATTTTACAGATGAGAAAACCGGGGCTCAGGGCACTGAGGTCACTTGTTGTGGTCAGTGAGGGGCAGAGCCAACAAGGAGACCCAGGAAGTCCAACCCCAGAGGCTGTGTTCTAGTCCACTCTTGTGTTGCTGATCATTCATTCACTTGCTCATTCACAAGTTCACTCACACAGACGTGCCAGAGGCCTACTGTCTGCCAGGGATGCACGCTCCCACAGCTTGTTCCAGGTTTCCATGTTTACACAAGAGCCTACGGACTGGGACCGAGGAGCTGTCCTAAGGGCAGCGGAGGTAGGGATGGCTGTGGCACTTCGGCAGGGGTGGCCGGCCCTCCCAGATCGATAATAATGCGGCATCCGCTGCCACCATGTGGATCAGCTCCCCCTGAGGACCCTGGTGCTAGCACAGTGGCTGGAACACAGCAGGAAGCAAACAGCTACCATTAACTGAAGAAATGAATGAATGAGCACACAAGATTCCAGATAGCCTCCATGTCTCGGAGAGTTTTCTCAAGAAATGCAGTCCTGTTACGTCCCCTACATCCAACCCTTGCTGGTCTCAAGTCCAGTCTCTCATCCCCATCCTGCGAGGTCTCGTCCCTTTCTGTCTGGCTTCATCTCCGCCCCCCAGCCTCCCTCCCACTCACCCCTGCTCCAGGACACCTGGATGTCTCGGCGCCTCTGTGAGGAGGGCTCTCTCTCGTCTCTGACCTTTTCTTTCTTCCTGGCCCTCTGGCTGGAACAGTCTTCCTTCCTTTCCCCAATGTCCTCCTGCCCAGACCGCACTCCCCACGGAGAGCTCAGCCAAGGCATCAGCTCTACTAAGAAGCCTTCCCAGTTAGAGGCACCACCCTGGTGCTTCTCTAGTCTCTTTTTATAAAGGTGTTTATTTTTGAGAGAGAAAGAGCATGAGCAGAGGAAGGGGGAGGACACAGAGAGAGGGGACAGAGGATCTTAAGTGGGCTCTGTGCTAACAGGAGAGAGCTCAATGCAGCACTTGAACTCAGGAGCCATGAGACCTTGACCTGAGGGGAAGTCGGAATTTTAACCGACTGAACCACCCAGGCGCCCCGAGGTGGGTGCTTCTCTAAGTGGTTGCCCCTCTCAGTTTTGGTTTTTTTTTTTTTTGCACAGTTTTACAACTTTTAATTTATGTGTCTCTTTCCTGAGCTCTGGACTGTCAACTCCATGAGGAGAGTGGCTGTGTCTGGCCTGTTCACCAATGTATCGCTGGTGCCTAAAGCAGTACTGAGCACATGGTGGTGCTCGTCTGACTTTATCCATCCATCCATCCATCCATCCATCCATCCATCCATCCTCTATTCATGAATAATTAGGGGCCAAGCACACAGACATCCCTATGCACCAGGCCCTCCACACGCTGGCTTTCCCACAGACACTAACAAATGGAGGACTGGTCACAAACTTATTGGGGTCCTACTTAAGGAAGGGCTTTGTGACCATTTAGAGCAGTGTGGGGATGCTCCAGACTAGGGTCCTTGGATTCCCCAAAGAAAGGGGGATGACCAATTCTCTTAAGTCTGAGCTCTAAAACCAAGATAGTCCAGATAGAAGATCTGTAGAGCAGCTGTCAGTGGAGAAGTGGATCTCATTTCCAATCCTGGAAGAGTGGGCAGAAGCCTGGCTGCCTCCCCCAAGCACAAGCAGGGCTGCCTGAGATGGCACCCCACTGCTGTCACAACCTCTGGGGCTTCAAGATCTTTTCACAGACTCACCGTGCAAGCCCATAAACGCTTACTACACAGTGATTACTACTCAAATTTAAGTGCCTGTTCAAGTTCAACATATGGCTCCCCAACTTCAAACCCACTAAAAGCTTCTCACTGCATTTCAAATACAATCTGAGCTTTCCTTCCATGGCCTTCAAGCCCCCCTCATTATCTGTCCCATTCCCTCTGAGACCTCCCTTCTACCACTCTCCCTCTCACGGTGCTCTGGCCACACTGGCCTTGCTGCTCCTTGAGTGTGCCAAGCTCCTTCCTGGAGGCCCAGGGCCTTTGCACATGCTCTTCTCTCTGTTTGGAATGCTATAGGTCTCCCAGTGGATGGTTCTTTTTTACAGGATTCTGCTCTGCAGTAATCTCCTTAGAAAAGCTTTCCTGAATGAACCATCCCATTGGAAGTAGTCCCCATCAGCCTCTTCAGTCCTCAGCAAGGACAGGAATGAAGTTTTATGTTCTTTAGCTGAAATGTTTTTCTTCGCTTATTTGCTCACTCACAGGCTGCCTTACCACCTGACTATAATTCCATGACAAGAGCCTGTCTAGGTCACTGTGGTCTCTCTGCACCTAGTACACTGTAGCCACTTGGTGACTGTCTGTAAAGCAATGAGCATCTTTTCTGCCAGCCACCAGCATGGCACTCTCATGGGATGGAGAAGTCCCTCTGATGGCCCAACAATGGCCACCTGCTCTGAGCCAGGCCCTGCGCAGAGTCCTGGGGCTGTGCTGCCACAAGGCCGGGGGGGGGGGGGGGGGGGGGGCATTCCCTACAGTTCTTTCCTTTCTTTTTACCAGTTTTATACTGTTTGCCTTATAAATTATTAGAAATTCAGAAAAAAATTCAAAATACAAAATCCAGGGCCCCCTGCATCACACGCTGTTGCTCTGCCAGGGGTCTTGGTGGTTCTCACATCAAAGTTACCAGCCCTATGGTAGGAAGCCTCACAAATCACTAGCCATTGAGTGGCCAACCTCATTTGTCACCGCCAGAAGTGCCCAGTTACCCACTGGCAGGCTGATAAACAGGGAGAGCCCAGCCACCAGGCATCCGTCTCATTAATGGGACGTTAATGTCTTCAGTTGGCCGCCTGGGGCCCCCGGCACAGGATCCAACTGGGGCAGTGTCTAATGGCCCCCTGATGCTGGTAATTTATGGAGTCGACTTCCATGGCAGCTTGAATCCAGCCAATCCATTTGGATCCTTAATTGAGAATGGTGGCTTAACAAGAAACCCCATGCAGTAGGGCACAGCTCAGCCAGGTAGGCCACAGGCGGCTGGTGAGGGACCGGCAGGGACATATAAGCAGGTGGGATCCTTCCTGCCTATCCCCGCCCACTCCCAGCTTTTCAAGATACTCCCTATTCTAAAACTAGACTCTTCGTAGTTAACCCAGCAGCCCAGCTCACTGGGACTGCTCAACTGCAGAGATGCATCACCTTCTCTGGCTCCTTGCTGATATGGGGAAGGCAGAAATCAGGTGCTGGAGTTTTGTGTGGGCGACCCTCACCACGCTGGATCATGCTTCCTTTCCTCCGGCATCCCCCACCCAAGTGGACATACTCCTTCATTCAGAAATCGTATTCAGCACCTACAGATGCTGAGGACAGGGAACACAGTCCCAGCTTTCTCGAGGACGATCAGCAAGTGATCAGAGAAACCAACAAGATGATGTTTAAATGGTAAGCGCTAAGAAAAGAAAACAATAAAATAGGTACATGTCAAGTGGAGAATTTGCTCTTGTGGCATATGTAGGTGGGAGGGAAGGCTTCTCTGATGGTTCACCATTGGGATGCAGATCAGAATGACAAAAAAAAGCTATGTGAAAACCTGGGGGAAAGTATTCTAGGCCGGAAGATGAGAATCTACCAAGCTGGAGGCAGGAACAAGCTTGGCATGTGTGACAACAACACAAGAAGTGTGAGTGGGGAGGAGAGTGGTAACAAATGAGGCTGGATACATAGAGGCCAGACTGGGTCTGCAGGTATGGCTGATGTCATAAGGGTGGTGCTGGGCTAAGAAACAAAAACAAAAAACAAAAAACTAAAAATGCATCCCATGGATTCATGTACCCACACACCTGTCTGTCTATCCAGTGGCCCACCTGCCCATCCATCCACCCACTCACCCATCTATCCATGCATCCATGTATCAATTCATCTGTCCATCCATGTATCTATCCATGTATCCATCCATTCCTCCATCCATCCATCCATCCATCCACTCATTCAATGACTGATTTGAATAAAACCCTGTGCTAGGAATTGGGGAGACAGAAACACCATTAAGCATGAGATACGTGGGCAGAGATACCTGGGCTCAGTTTGGAGCTCTACCACTTCCTAGCTAAGATCCAGAAAGTTCTTGGCCCTCCAGAGGCCTCAGTTTTCCAGTCTGTAAAAGGAGACTAATGCCATCACTTCATTACGATACTGGTTTGTTCCGTCTATTGCTAATACAGGCTTAGGAGGAGTCACTGGGTAGGATAAAAAATTAAGAGGATTCTACTGTTAAAAAAAACAGACCAAGGCTTCAGGTCAGTTTGGACCACTGAGAGCGGCCACACACTCTGTCTCTCTCCCTCCTCTCGTTTAAGATGCCAGTTCCCGTGCACTGGAAGATCTGCAGGTATGGGGTTAGCTATCGTCTGGGCTCTCCAACTCCCCTTCTCTTCCATCTCCATCCTCAAATGTCAGACTGGGAAAGAGAAGCCGGCAGGGGTGCCGCAAAAGATGAAGAAGCACGACAGGACTCCTACCTCAGAAAATTGGAGCCTCCCGAAGTCACTGGGGGGACTTGCAATCTTGAAGACTTTCTTTGGCATCACCCATGTCTCCAGGGTCTCAAGTTTGCTCACGGCCAGATTGGTAGCGTGATGCTTGATCAGAAAGCCCTGGAAGCGGTCCGCGAGGAAGTAGAGGTGGACGGATGCTGGGTGGCCCATCGGGTAGTACCTGTAACAGATGCAGTCTTACGTGGGCTCATGTGGTAGGGCCAGAGGTGTGTGGGCTCACAACGGAGCGCGCTACCCATCATACTGGGGCCGTTCCAAAAACAGGCCCCGTTTTACACAGTGCAGACCATGGTCCTTTGCACCCTCCTGAAAGCTGCTCCCTGTGTATCTCAGGTCCCAAGAACTATAAATGACTTCTTGGCTGTTTATAAATGTAAAACATGCTGACTGAACAAAAGCACAATAAAGAAAATAAACATTATTACTTTTGATGCTTCTTCCCATGGAGGATGTCAGTTCACAGTTATTTATTGATCCTCTGGTGCTAGGTACCAGAAAGTGACAACAGTATGCCAACGGTGCCATATTGCTGTCTTTCCCTTCAGCCTTATTTTCTATGCATATATTTGCATATATCTTACATATTTGGGATCATAATATACCTTCTGCTTATATTCTGCTTTTGCTTCATAGTATTGCCCAAGCATTATCTCATGTCTTTGAAAAGTCTCTGAAAACATGATTTTTGTCTGAGTGTGCGCACACACACCACTCCACTGTAATGCCATAGGTCATAGAGCAAGTCCATCTTTAGATGTTTAACGTGTTTTTTGTGGGTTTTTTTTTTTTTTTTTTGCAATTCTAAACAATGCTGCATTAAACATCTTTTAATAAAAAACCTTTTTTGGAACATCACTCTCTCTCATCTCCAAAAGGCTCTTTATGTCTGCTGTTCAACTTTATCAGAAAGGTTGTACGGATTTACATTCCCACTGTCCTTCTCACCCCACAGCATTGGGTATTATCCTTAAAAACTATTGCCAATCCAAGAGATGTACACACAAACAGGTAGCCCCTTAATACACATGCCTTTGATACTCAAGGTCTCTGGGCTGAAAGGGGCAGGGAAGCTAAGCAGAGGTACCCCAAGGAGGTGGGGGGGGGGAGGCACAGAGAGAGGGGAGTTGTGGACAGCTCAGCTCTTTGTCCTTCCTACGCATGAAATAAAAGCTGTCGGCCTCTGCAATGTGTTAATAGCATAGCACTCAGAAGGTGCTGGTGGCCCCTAGGAAACAGCATTCCACAAATCATTGCCCCACCCCTTGTCCTTCCTGCCCTCTGGCTCCAGTCAGGAGTTTAAGTCTTCATGTCCAATTATAATGGTCAGGGAAGCTGCCTTCCTGTGTTGACACATCCCCCGAAGTCACTGTCTTGTTGTTGGGATGCCTCTGGGGCTCTGAGAAAAAAAGCTTGTGCTGTCTTGGGATTGCCAGTCGAACATTCAGGGCTTATGCAAACCCGCTTTGGGTCTGGATGCTGGGAGCCACAAACCCCCCTCCCTGGACTGTGCTGCCGAACTTTCTGCCATGATGGGAATGCTTTTCTCCTCTGCTGCCCAGTAGAGTAGCAACCAGCCACCTGTGACTCCTGAGCGCTTGAAACGTGGCCAGTGTGCCTAAGGAGCTGACGTTTGAATTTTACTTCATTTAAATGTGAATGCTCGCTTGTGGCTGGTAGCTACTGTGGAGAGCCTAGAGTTGTGGAGGGGTCTTGGGGCAGCCTGCATTCATGTCCCCAGTTCTTCACTTCTGCTGTCTCCACACTCTTTTCCATCTGACTCTGTACGTCTCCTTGCACCAATGAGACAGTCTAGTTCTCGGTCTTGAATCTGTTTTGGCTAGAAGAGTTTGGTACAAGGGGTGTCATGCCAGGTCTGAGCCAGAGCCTCCAGAGTCCTGTACATTTCTACTTGGCTCTTGCTCTTTTGTGCCTACCTTGAGAGCATGCCTGAGCTCGCCTGCCAGGGGAGGAGGCACGGAGAACAAGAACAGAGCCATCCCCACTATCCCAGCCGAAGCCATCCTAGATCCGCTGACAAGTCTCAGCTACAGACAACAGAGCCCCACTTGTGACCTGCAGCTGGCTGTACATGCGGAAGAGACACCAGCTGAGACCAGGAAAACTGCCCAGCTGACCCACACACTTGAGCGCTGTGTCAATGCTGATCCTTTCAAAACACTGATTTGGGACTTGTTATGTGGCATCATTACAATAGATTGTCTGTCCACGTTTGTTCTGTAAGGTGGGTAGGGTCAGTGAGGGTGGACGAAACATAGGAGAGCTTGTCATGAGAGTCAAGAGAAAAAAGTGGTTCCAGAAGGGAGTGGTCAGTGGTACTAGGTGCTACTAAGGGATCAAGTGAATGAGCCATGGTCAAGCACTCTAGAAATCCAGGAGTTAGTCTTTGATTGCTTGCCTTCCCTCACCTTCTATCAAGAAATCCTGTTGTTCCCACCTGAATCCATCCTCTCTTCTCCTTATGCACTGCTAGCATCCTCATCCAAGCCACCATCACACCCTACCTGGCCCTTTCCAGGAGCTTCCTTGCTTGTCCCTTCCTACTTTGTCCGCCGTAACCCATTGTTAGTAGCCATATCCACTGTCCACTGCTTACATACCATAAGTGGTTTGCTTGATGTCTATGATAAAATCCAACCTCCCCATGTGGCCGACCAGGTCCTGCCTCTCCTTCTAGCCTCACTTTGTTTCCCTTTGTCCCAACCCCCTACCTTCTAGCCACATGGATTCTTTATTTTGGGTTCTTGAGCATGCTAAGCTCATTTCTACCTTGGGACCTTTGCACAGGATAAACTTTTTGCTGGGGATGCTCTTCTCCTGTTACGTTGCACATCTGGCTCTGTAGTCCCATTCTGCACAAATGTTACCACCTCAGAGAGATCTTGCTTGACCACTGAATCTTAAGTCACCAACTCATTGCTACCATGTGGCTTTTGTTAGGTATGCTGAGGTACTGTCTTTACACTAGAATGGAAAATCCTTGAATTCAGGGGCCTGGTTTGTCTGGGTCACAGCCGAGTGCCCAGTGCCTAACAGGGCCTGACACGTGGGAGATGCTCAGTAAATGCATGTTGATTGAGTGAAAATTCGAGAAGGGTTTTCTCTTGAACCTTTGGCTTCTAAGGTGCATCTAGGGTACATATAACCCTATATATAACTGAAAACAAAGTCCTGTGATACCTCCTCTTGACTGTATATGGTACTTGAGCAATTAAAACTAAAATGAGGGGTATGCCTGGGTGGTTCAGTCCTTCAAGTGTCCAACTTCGGCTCAGGTCATGATCTCACGGCTTGTGAGTTCGAGCCCTGTGTAGGGTTCTTTGCTGACAGTTCAGAGCCTGGAGCCTGCATCAGATTCTGTCTGTCTCTCTGTGCCCCTCTCCCACTCACTCTCTCTCTTTCTCTCAAAAATAAACATTAAAAAATTTAAAAACAGTAAGACAGGTCGTTTTAATTAGGTGCAGTACAATATGCAAAATCCAATAGGATATGACCCAAAGGGTGCCACAGATGCATCCCATCTGGCCCAAAGGGGTTTTCCTTATTTAAAGAAGGTGGGCATTGAAAAAACTTAGATTCACACAAAAATCTGGATTTCTAATTTCTCTTGAAAAATCAGGAGACCAGTTGGCAACTTCAAGTCTGCAATTCCCAGAAGGCAAGGATGTGCTGGAGCTCAGTACCAGGGCCCATGGGTACTCCACACTGGCATGGTCACCCCGCCCCGTGAGGACTGGCACTGGCTGACACCTGCTATTCCCTGGCCCTGGAGAGCATTTGGATTTAAGCGCCTGTATTAAAATACTGACATGGTTATCTCTGGATGGTGGCTCAAAAGCAAACTTGTATGTATGTATGTATGTATTTGTTTATTTTGTATTCTCTCAATTTGCCATTTCAAAAATTTCTGCAATGAACATGTGTCATTTTATAATGAGAAAAAAATCAATAAACATTACTTTTATGAAAGGTTATACTATAGACTGGAAGGACAATTTGCATGAGATGCCCAGAGGAAATGAGACTCCTGAAATAAAGTTTTCACTTGCTATTTCCCCAGATACCCCACAGGCAGGAATTCACTCTCTTTTGCCTTTTGGGATAAGGGTCCTTTGTCCTGATTTATTTGCAGGCACATATCCATAAATATATCTGCTTTGCCCACAGCAAGGCACAATGGTTCTATTATAATAAAAAATGAGGCAGAAGCCAAAGGATTCTAGGCTTGAGGCAACTTGATGGCTTGTTTAATCCCCAAACAAATACCAGGAGAATATTTCAACAACCCTAAATAAATTGTGGGTGTCTTTTGGAATTTCGTATCAGTCATTTACCTTATCAATTCCATCAAGTCTGGGACTAAAACTATTCTTGAACAACATTTGCCTCCCCAGAGTCAGACACCGGGTTACCTACAGGGATGCATGTGGTGGCTCTGAAAGCCAGGATCCTGTCCCAAACTAGCAGGAGGGGAAAGACACTGGTGACGACCTTGACCCGGGGCACCGCACCTATCTGCAGTGGGCGTGTTGGAGGGAAGTCTGAGCTACTGGCCGCTTGGGAGAGGGGGGAGTGGGGCTCTTGGGGGAGCCCCAGATGAGCATCACAGAGGCCTTGAAAGTGACCTTCAAAGACTGGGGAAGGGTGGGCCGCACAGGAAGCGGGGAGGCGCTGAGCACAGGGAAACAGCCAAGGAGGAAGCGGTTCATACCCGCTACGAAGCGTGCAGCTCTCACACCGGGCTCAGTGTTGACTGCTTTTGGCAGCTTCATGATAATGGCAACTGAGATACCAACAGTGACATGCGTCCTTACTGAGCACTTAGCGTGTAAAACACTTAAATGGGGATGATAATAGTAACAGTGATACGTAGCTCATGAGGCAGCGTTTGAAGATGATCTCCGTTAAAATTCACACCACCTTACTGACACTATGTGCATCTTATAGATGAGGAAGCTGAGGCAGAGAGATTAATGACTTGTCCAAGGTCAACAGGTATGGAGTGCAGTCCTGGGCTCCCAACCCAGGCTGGTCTCCCTTCAAACCCAATCAGAACTCGCACAGAGAGGAGAGGCGAAGTGTGAGGCCAGGAGGAGAGAACGGAAGTGTCTGCTGCAGCCCAGCTGGGTATGCACCAGGCACTGGGCAGATACTCCCATGTTTGCAGCTTGGAGGGAACAAGACAGTTCCTCTTTCTTCTCTTCTTCCACTCCCCAGATGAGGAAACAGAAGAGCAAGGAGGGACACCAGGGGAGGCCTCAGTGTGGACAGACTGTTGTTCCAAAAAAAAAAAAAAAAAAAAAAAAAAAAAAAAAAAAGAAGAAGAAGAAGAAGAAGAAATGTTTTCTCTTTGTAGTTAAAGAAGGGAGGTGGGATGACGAAGAGAACGGAGACCAAGAAAGAGAGGGAGAGTGATTAGCACTTCTGGGAATGCATCCTAAGGAAATCATCAGAAAAGAGAAGGGGGAAAAAAAAGAGGCTTTTTGCACAAAGATAGTCATCAGAACATTATTTACAATGGTCCATTACTGCCAAGGCAACGGGAAAGGGAAGAACCAGGCAAACTCTGGAATTTCTACTCAATGGAATCCTTGCAGGCATTAAAGAGGATCATTATCATTAGGGAGGAGGCAGAGCGGCATGGGGAAAAGGGGCGAATATTATAATGTCAAATGAAAAAAAAAAAAACAACCAGGGCTCCCAATTCTTGGTGCAATTATGTAAACATCTGCACTGCGCATTGCTGGTACGGAAGAAGAGGCAGGCAAAATAGACCAGGGCTGGAGGGCTTCGCGAAGGGGAAGGGGCCCAGGGTGAATGATCTTCTACCTTCCCCTCTTCTTTCCATATACTCTAGAACACTCTTTCTTCAAGTCTCAACTGGTACCTGCTAGTGGTGGGTGAGATGATGCTAAGCGGTACCTGAACATCTTAAATAACAGTTCTGCATGTTAATGACGCTTCTGGTTATATTTTTAGGTGTGTCAGTGACAGTATGGCTATGTATTAAAAAGGAGTCTTTATTTTCCAGAGATACGTATTAAAATACGTATAGCTCAAATGAAAGGTCGCCTGGGATTTGCTGCAATCAAACTATCTGAGAGGAGGGTAAGTGGGCAAGGGCGAAGAGAGGAAATCGCCTTGGCCCTGAGCTAGAGATTGCTAGAACTGGGTGATGGGAGTGTGGGGTCGCACTCTGCTATTTCATATATACTTAACATTTACTGTAATAAAAAGTAAAAAAAAAAAAAGTTCTGCATTTTCATGGTTACCTTCCACTTAAGACAGACATCACTATACAACATGGTGATCTAAAGCTTCCCTGTAAGATATCATGTACTTAGCATAAATATGAACGCTCTGCGAGGGAATAAGTAGGTAAACAGTAGACTTGGTATTATGAAAAAGCGGAAGAGTGACCGTGGCTTAGAGTGGAAGAGTGCCGGCCCTTGGGACGGTTCAGATGCTTTTCAGGCCCCAGGAGACTGGGAGAGGTGAGGTGCGCGGCTACAGCCCCCAGAGAGGTGGAGGTCCCCATGCAGCGCCCCCTTTTGGTGCTGTGCCGCCCGCCCCTCCTGCACCCGGGGACGATTCTCCCCACCCAGGGGCTCACCGGCAGCTGTTCTCCCCCTCCACGTGCAGCGACGACTCAGCCCGTCGGAGGCCCAGGCGGGCAAAGGAGTGATACAAGGTGAGTGCCACGTCGCTCAGGCTGTGGGTGCCATCTGGCTCATCGTACACGTTCTCCCAGTAGGAGCGGAGGCCCGGGGTGCCCGCGGGGTAGTTCCCGTACAGGTAATAGTCCAGCTGCCCGATGATTTCCTGATTCACCACGGCTTCGAATTTTCGGGCAAAGAAGGTGGGCCTGGCTGTCTGCTGTGCTCATGGGATAAAAAAAGCAGTGTCAGGGAGTGGGATGGGGGAGGGAGTGGGGGTTTGGGGAGCGGGGCTCGGCAAGCCACCCTGTCTGGATCCACATCCCAGCTCTGACACTTTCTAACCTCTCTGTCCTCAGTTTCCCTATCCATAAAGTGGAGATCCTCAGAAGTGTGTTAGGACTGAATGAGTTAATATTTGGAGAGCATTTAAAGCAATGATGGGCACAGAGTAAGCATCATTTAAATGTCTGTTAAATAAATGACGTCCTAGATGTTTATAGCTGAGATGGATCTCAGGAATCATTTAGCTGAAGGTCTGGGGCAAATATAGCCTACAGATATATTTTAGTCGTCCAGCAGAGTGTTTTAAAATTGAATTAGCTGGCAATATTTAAAAAGTACAAGAGTTCACAGAAACAATTTTTAGCTTTCCTTTAAACAGAAATACATCTGGCAACATCCAGGCCCCTGTTCCTACATGGGAATGACTGCTTAAAGCTGGAGAGCAAGGGGGCGCCTGGGGGGCCCAGTCAGTTCAGTGTCCGGCTCTTGATTTTGGCTCAGGTTATGATCCCAGGGTCTTGGGATCGAGCCCCGCATCAGGCTGCACTGAGCGTGGAGCCTGCTTGGGATTCTCCCTCTCCCTCTGCCCCCTCTTCCCTGTGTGCCCACTCTAAAATAAAAAATAAAAAGGCTGAAAAGCAGCTGTCCCTTTAGATGGGCATATCCTCTTCAGCTCACTATAGTCTCCACTACTCCCTACTGCCTCCTGGGCACTGCAGCTGATTTACAGACTCACAAGGAACTCCGAGAGGTACTGATCAGAACAATCTGTGGCAGTGAGACTTAGGAATCTACATTCTTAACAGGTTTTTGGGGTGATACTCTTCTAAGACTCCAGGGTAAGGTAAATGGTGCCTGACTGGGCTAAATACCACAGTCAATTAAACATTTTTAAAAAAATTCAGATTCTGGGGTCCATCCCCAGGCCTACAGACTCAACATCTCTGGAGATGAGGTTTAGGAATCTGGAGGCCAAGAAGCTTCCCAGGTGACCATGGGGCAGTATTAAAAGACCACGTATGTAAACCAAGTTTTCAAGGAAACTGAGGTCCAGAGAGGGAAAGGGACTTATCTAAGGCCATACAGCAAGCTAATGGCAAAGCCAAGATGAAGATCCCGGGTTGAGGATAAAGAAGGAAAATTCTGAGCCCGCTGTGACCTACTGGGTCTTATACTAATATCTGGGCAGGGATCAACAAAGGGCCATAGTAACTATTTCCAGCTTTGCAACTACTCAACTCTTCTGTCATAGTGTGAAAGCAGCCACATAGTAAATGCAGCTGTGGTCAATGGGTGTGGCTGTTTTCCAAAAAAACTTTATTTACAAAAGCAGGCAGTGTGCTGGATTTAGCTCAGGGGGTGTAGTTTGGTGACCCCCGTCTAGGACTCTGGAAACAAAACCCAGCCCTCCCTTGAGGAGCTAATGGTCTAGTGTTATTACTGACCTTCAGCTGGGTCTAACACTGTTTTCACTGCAGTGGGTTAATAGCACCAATGACCATAAAAACCACCGAGCACATACTATATACACCGAATGCTGCGTTATATCACCACCTCGAATCCGCAACTCTGCAAAGCAGGCATTATGAGTTTCATTTGACACAGAAGGAAACTGAGCTCAAATACAAACTCACACGGCTGCAGGACTCTCAAGCCCAAGCTCTTTCCACTATGCCATCCTAGGACTGGGCTGCTCGGTAAGCTGGAAGCTCCCGAAAACAAACATCCTTGGTATTATCCTGAAGATCCCCTCACCTCTCGGCTTCATGAACCCTGTGGCGGTTCACGGACAGTATTTAATAGTATTCTCACTCTCCCCGGGGGGGGGGTGGTGGTGGGTGGGGAGTAAGTTCAGTTCAGTTACCTTACAGTAGTGCTGAAAGGAGACCACTTGGGGTCAAATCCTTACACTGCTACTTCCTAACTATGTCCTTAGGCAAATCACCCAGGGCTTTAGCTTTCTCATCCTTAAAATGGGTATAATAAAATATGTACTAAGCACAGAGTCTGGCACACGGTGTTAGCTATTATTGACTATTGTCACTACTCCCCAAAGCCTGCTACGAGGGGCTTCTAGACCTTCATGTTCTCGAGGCAGAGAATGGACTCAGAGGCCGGCAGCCTCCCTCGTCTGCTTGTGATTCTTTATTCACAGCTGTATCTTCTAAAAGGGCACGTTTCTATATTTATCACTCTTCTTTGAACAAGAACTCTAAGTTCCTTACAGGCAGCAGTTTCTTAGACTCTAGATGTTGGGGGATATTCTTGATCTCTGTTTACTGTGAGAGGAATAGCTGTGAGCACGTGCGAGGTCTCTGTGTGAGCTTGTCTTTACCAGAGACCACGATGTTCCTGGGAGGCTGGGGCTGGAACACAGATGCCGCCGCCACCAGGGGCAGCGTCCCACCAACTGCCGTGGCCATTTGCTCTAAATGATGAAGGTCCTTGGCACTGAGGCAAACAGTTGGTCCTCTACAAAAGTGGGAATCTTTTTTTTTTTTTTTCCTTTTGAATAGGTCAGCTATTTCCCCTGCAACCATCTTTCTGCTCAGTAGATCCTTTCTCCATGGACAAAGGAGTTAAATGTCACCCAAGTTCATACCTAAATTAACATGGGTTTGAAGAGGTCCCCGGGTAGCTCTTAATCTGCCACCAAAAACAGGCCTAAAAGAATACTTATTGCAGCAACCGCTTACAGAGGTGAAAGATGTTAGGTGGGCACCTTGAGGAAATCCGAATAATGAGACGAAACCCTCTGTGTGTTCTGCACCCATGTGGACACAAAACCAGGGTGGCAGTGGGGTTTGATGGAAAAGAACCAGGTCTGCAGCTGGAGGCATCTGGGAGGGACCTCCAGCCCTGCCACTCCACTCTGTGTCCACGGACAAGGAAGTTAGCCCCTCTGTGCCTCAGTTTCCCCACGTGCACAATGGGGATGCTGCCTACCCCAGTGAAGCCAAGGCCCACAGAGGTCCTGGCACAGAGCCTGATACGGGACACATTCCTACTCCTGTGCTTCTCAAGCATAAATAGCCTCCTCCTCTACCTGGGAATCTTATTTATGTGCAGATTCTGCCCCAGGCCAGCTGGAGCAGTGGAGACGGCAGCCTTCTAACAGCTCCCTGGTGATGCTTATGCCAGCTCCCTGGACCACACGCTGAGGAGCCTGCTAAGAGACTAGAAGCTCCACTCGGGTGGGGGTGGCCGTGTCCTCCCATGGATGGTTCTATTATGTGTCAGAGTGAGTCTGCGGGGGCGCCTCAGCTCGGGTTACCCACCTGCACTCCCTCTGTGTTAGTGGTTGGGGAAGAAGCATACCATCTCCACGTGGTGGCTCTGGTGGCCTCAGAGTGATGTGTTTAACCACTCTGTAGCATTCTGCTTGCCCTCTCAGCAGCAGGTGCCAGGGCATGGTGAGGGGGGTGAGGCGGGAGCGGGACGGGCACTCACACAGGACGGAAGGAGGCTGCCATCCAAAAGAGGTTTGGGCGCCAAGCATCCTTGGGGCTCATGGAAGCAGATGGAGCATTTATGACCCCCTGCCTCTGCTCCCCGCAGAACCGTAAGTCGCTTGGCTGTGCCGAGACACTGTGACGGCAGTAACGTTTCTACCTCTTCTGACTTCTTCGGGTTCACAGAGCGCGGTGTTTTGCAAACCTGACTGCTCATCAGGATTCTCCAGAGTGTAACACATCAAAATAAAAATTCCTGGACCTCAACAGAGATTAGGAATTCTCAAGTGGGGGTGAGTTTGCCCCCAGAGGACATTTGACGATGTCCGAAGACGTTTTTTTGTTTTCCTAACTGGAATGTGTGGCTAGATCTAGCGGCTAGAACCCAAGAATGCAGTCTCACACCCAACAACGCACAGGACAGCGCCCCACAACAGAGAACTATCCAGCTACCATGTTCGGAGGGCTGAGGTTCAGAAACTCTGCCCTGGGTACACTCAACTTGGAACCCAGAAATGTATTTTTACTGAATATTTCAGGGGATTCTGACTGAAAAGCAGTAGAGAGAAAGAGATTTGGAAACATACATAGCCCTATGGGACCTTGAGTTATTTTACCTTTCTATGCCTCAGTTTCTCTATCTCTAAAATAGATTACTGATAATATTATCTTGGGATGCCTGGGTGGCTCAGTCAAGCTTCTGACTTCGGCTCAGGTCATGATCTTGCAGGTCATGGGTTTGAGTCCGCTGTTGGGCCAGAGCCTGGGGCCTGCTTCAGATTCTGGGTCTCCCTCTGTCTCTCTCTCTGCCCCTCCCCTCCCCCCTCAAAAATAAACAAACATTAAAAATTTTTTTAAAAAACCAATAATACACTATGTGTCACACAAGGTTGATGTGGGGTTCATGAGTCAATACAGGCCAAGTGGCTACAACTGTTGTGGCCTGGGGGTAAGTGATCAAAACCCGGCGGCCACAGTTGATGCTGTCACTGTTACTACGGACACCCAGGTCTGGAAACCGCAAGATGAGAAGACTCGCAGGCCCGGCCTCAGAGGCCTGTGGACGTGTGCCGGGAGGGTGTGGGCCAGGGGCTGGCAGGGGCCCCGGTGGGCTCACCTGGAAGCGGTGGAAATCCTGCGGCTTGAAGTCGTTGGGGGAGCAGCCGCACCAGTCCACGATGTGCTTGTACTGGCACTTACAGCCCAGCTTGCGGTTCCAGTTGGTGATGCGCAGGTTGTTGTCCACCATGGTGTCGCAGTGGGGGCTGTTCTCCAGGACGGTGTGGAAGAAGGACTGCAGGGAGACAGGGACCAGCCTGAGACCTCCTCCAGCCTCCCTCGAGTGGGCTGAGGTGGTGGTGGTGGGGCCTGCCTTCCTCCAGGACCACCTGACTGCACAGGGACTCCCCTCTCCTGGACACTCATTGGGTCTCTCTGCAAATGGGGTCAGCTGCCAGCTTGGTCCAATTCAGGCTACACAGGATGTTTTGTCCAAGTGGCTTCATTCTGTTTGCAAATCTAACGCTCTGAGTGTTTCTCTAAACTGTCTTTCCCCAGCAGTCTACAATCTGATTGCAAGACGTTTCCTATTGTTCACGACATCTCTGTCTGCCCGGCAGAGAGGAAAAATCCCTCAGGTTATGTCAACACACGGGTACCAGAGGAAACGTGGTGACAATTTTCCAGAAAACCTTGGGCCAAAAGGGCTCCTGCTTTGCAAATAGATCTGAAACCAAGGGGATTCCTGTCTGAAATATCTAGAGAACAAGGACTGATGCTCTAGAATTTCACCCCTTGGTAAAAGAAGCCAGATTCAGGGATGTTTCAGTCCCGGGGTGTGAATGGGGGTGTGTCCCAGGCCCCCCTCCTCCTGCCTCAGCCACATGGGTGTGGCTACGACACAGGGAGGGGTGGGGCAGGGCTGCTCGCTGTCCGTGGTGCTGAAACAGGCTCCATTAGTTTCTTGTAATCCAATAACTCTTGGCCAACCTCTCCTAGGAATCTGAGAAGGAAGCAATGCTGAGAGTGAAGAAAGAGACCAGAGAGAGGAGAGAGAGGAGAGGGGGAGGAGGGAGAGGGAGGGAGGGAGGGAGGGAGGGAGAGAGAGAGAGACAGACAGACAGACAGGCAGACTTCTGTTTGGACACTGTTTTATAACAACCCCAGATACCAGGCAGATACATTCTCCCTGCTCTCTGCTCCCTAGGGGAAGATGTTGGGGTACACATGTCTGCCTCTAATAAATTTATAGCTCAGCCTTTAGATTTACTCTAAACTGTTTTCCTAGAGGTGGTCTGGGAGAAGGGAGGGCAAGGTATGGATCCTGGAGTGTTAAGTGCCTGTGTGTGCTGGGGCGGGGTTGAGATAGACAGAGCCAGCATCATGAACGGCATCTTGATTAAAACAACCAGAGCCTCCAAACAGTCCCTTCTCAAGCGGGGGATGGGCAAAATGAGGCTCCACCCACGAACTCCAGCTGCCCTGTGCTGCTAAATGACATATGCCCATGAACCTGGATTTTAAGCTTAAATTGTCTACAAGCCCACAGAGGCACATATTCTCCATGAAACAGTGGGGAGAAGTTCCCAATTACCAATTACCCTATGTCCTTTCATAATGATACAGAAATTCCCTGAAGGTAATGGATGAGGAGGTTATCGACATTGAGAGAAAAGGTGATTTTCGCTGAAAAAGGATTAAAAGCTGATTACCTAATGTGTGTGCAGAATAGTAAAACCTGGCCCAGGGATGACAAGCCCATCATCCCTCTGGAGTGACGTGGGCAGTCAACCCTATCAGCTTGGCACTGCTCCAGATGTTGGTGAGGGATGTGGAAACCATCAAATGAGATACGTTGTCTTGTCTGACCTAGACACACAGCCTGAGCCTGAGGCACAGCCAGGAAGAAATGGTAGACCACTCACGAGCGGTGTCATGGGCTCAACAGAAGGGCAACCAGCTCTGGAGTTTCCTGAAGTCAGAAATTAGGAGGAAAGGGAACTGGAGGCCAGAGAGCTGAATCGAGAACCCCCCAGTCAGGTCTGATAAGAAGGCTGCTGGCAACATTTCAGAACTGTGTCCACCACTCACTCATTTCCCAGATGGAGCTGGTACTGTTTCAGAACAGGCTGCAATTGTACACAACCAGGCTTCTGAAATGGACTGCATGTTTGCGTCTCCTCCAAAATCCATAGGTTGAAATCCTAGCCCCACAATGTGATGGTGTTAGGAGGTAGGGGCCTTTGGGAGGTGATTAGGCCAGGAGGGTGGAGCCCTCATGAATGGTATTAGTGCCCTGATAAAAGGGACCCCAGAGAGCTCCCATGCCCCTTCTGGGATTGAGCACAATGAAAACTGTCAGGATGTAATCTGCAACCCAGAAGAGGGCCCTCGCTAGAACCTGACCATTCTGACACCCCAATCTCAGACTTCCAGCCTCCAGAACCAAGACACGTACATTTTTGTCGTTTAAAAGCCACCTAGTCTATTGTATTTTGTTATAGCAGTCTGAACGAAGACACCTTCCCCTCACTGAGGTCTGAAAAGTGGTGACAGGCTCCCTGGAGCTTTTCAAATGCTTCCGGAAGCCATCAGGAAATGTTGAGTCCCAATGGCTGTCAATGCAGGGGCTAGTACAGGTCCAGCAGAAGCCCTGGCTCTCTGTCTTTGAGATCACTGGAATTTCTATTGTGACCGATGAGGCCAACACTAATGTCTATCATGATACGATTAAAAAAATAAAAAAAACCCCCTCAAAATTAGAAAAGGGATTCTTCATGTTGAAAAAGTGGTTATTACATGATTGATGACTGTAGAGGATCTGTCAAAAGTTGATGTGGGTGTGTCCTGAAAGAGCCGGCATATACAGTTGTGCGGGTTACACACTGCACAACCCTAGTGGGACACCATCAACACTGTAGGTCTGAGAGGTTTCAATTTTTTTTTTTTTAAGTTTTCTGGAAAATGGCAGTGAAGGGTCTCGTTCTATCAAAATCAGTATATTGTGATGATTTTATGACCAATGGGAGCCAAGTGTCTTAAGGAAGAGCTGCCTTTTCTACTTTGCACACATATGCTGTGTGGACTGCTAGTGGCAGTGTTGTATGCCTGTCTATTCCATACCAGAGGCCGGCTATGACAGCACGGACCCTGGTGGCGGATGCAGTTCTCCAACTTCCTGGATGTTTGCAGTCCTGGATGTTTGCAGGACTATGTATTAGACCCAGCATTGCTTTGCAAAACCTTCGGCAAAAATTCAGCATCTGCTTTGTTCCAAAGGCTGGAGCTGGCTCTTACCTTGCTGAGGAGCTTTTCCTTAGACACTCACCTCAGCAGGAAGCAGGGTATAGGAGTAAAATTGCTTCATTTTGGTCACCAGATCATCTGTGGAGAACGTCACATACTCCACAAACTTCCGGTTCAGCAAGAACCAATCCGAGCCTCCATCCACAGCAATGCCCTCTGGGATTCGCCGGTCCCCTAGGCGCCACATGTGGGCGTCACACTCCAGGAAGAGTCGGTCCAGACCCTGTTTTCGGATGAACCTGTGAAAGCCAAAGTAGCCCTTAGCCCAGAGGTGCACAGAATCCAAATGAAATAGCACAGTCATGTCAGTAAAAGCATGTGATGACACTTACTGTGTGCCAAGTATTTTTTCTGATGTTTATTTATTTGAGAGAGAGGGAGAGAACAAGTGGGGCAAGGGGCAGAGAGAGAGGGAGAGAGAGAATCTCAAGCAGGATCCATGCTGTCAGTACAGAGCCTGATGTGGGGTTCGAACTCATGGACTGTGAGATCACGAACTGAGCTGAAACTAAGAGTCGGACACTTAACTGACCGAGCTACCCAGGAACTGCTACTGTGTGCCAAGTACTGAGCCAGGGGCTCTGTGTGTAGTTTGCCACTTTTTCTACACAAGTGAGACAGGTCCCTATGTCCCCATGAGGCAAGCACTGTCAATATGCCCATTTTATGGGTGAGGACGCTGATTAGAAGGTTTAGGGGGCTTGCCCAGTACAAGTAGATGGCAACAATCATCTGCTACATCCACTTCTTCCCTACGGAACTTTTGAAATCGCCTTTTCGTGCCATGAATGCTTTAGCACTTTGGTGAAAACAGCCTATGGAAGCTCATCTTGGAATAATGCTCTTAAAGGCATACCTCAAATATGTAGTAGTAAAAAATATTACAAAAACCCTAGTTATGATGTAATTCATATGGTTTTAGATTCATACAAGAAAGGATTACAAAATATTTTTCAAAACACCAAATTTGTGTGTGTTTCTTTTGTAACACATGAGATAGCAAGATCTTGTAGCAGGTCTAACAACTGGTGTAATTTTGCAGAAGAGGGGAGCATAAATGATACTTAGAGGTATACGCATCAATCACAGTGATAGGAAAATACGTGATTCCTTACAGTTACCGCGAATACTGTTGTGGTTTGTTACCTCCATTTAGCTGGATTTCAATTAGAGTTCAGTGAAAATAAAGATCACTTTCTTCCCAGCCAAAGTTGTGGGCCCCTAGAATTCTATCGGAGAACCCCAGATTAAGAACTCCTGCTCTGGAGTGTATACATATTTGGGATTTGCAAGGTGGGCAGAGCAGAATTGGCACTTCCTGTTTTGTAGATGCAGAAATCAAAGAGCTAGCAAAACGGATGTGTTGGGAAGGTGGGCCAAACTAGAACCAAGCCTTCTGACGTGAACCCTCAGTTCCTTTGCAGTAGGAGACCCATGCCTGCTGTGTGCCAGGCACTGTGCTGGCCTGGTGCGGGGAAGGGAGAGGGAAGGATGTTGCTGTTCCTCAGGGTGCTGTCTCACTAGGACCTATAATCTCCTAACTATAGTCTCCTAACCCAGGGGCTTTGCTGCTTCTTGAGCTCATACAACATAAAATCAACCATTTTAAAGCATGTGATTCAATGGCATTAATACATTGACCATGCTGTGCAACTGTCACCCACGTAGTCTCAAAATATTTAAGCACTCCCAAAGGACACCCTATACCCATAAGTAGTCACTCCGTGTCTGCCTTCCTTCTAACCCCTAGCAACTATCAATCTGCTTTCTATATCTATGGATTTACCAACTCTGGACATTTCATACAGATTCACACATACAATATGTGGCCTCTTTGGGTCTGGCTTTCTCTACCAACAGTAATGTTTCCAAGGCTTCATCCTGTGTTTCTGTCTACCCAGCATCCACTCCTCATTCCTCTGAGAATCACACCTTGATTTTACTTTGGACAGCTACCTATCTTTAATTCTCACTTAACTTGGGTTTGCACCCCACCCCCAGCACCAAGCGGTGGCGACACGACCCAGCCTGGTCAGTCAGAGTATTCCATCTGCCTGGCTGCCATAACTGATTCAGGGATGGGTGAGTAACTCAAGCTAACTCTGAGATTGGGCCCTGGATTTTTGCTGGATCTGCTGGGAAGGAGGGCTCTTCAAAGGCATTTTCAGCTGAAAGAATGTAAGCCTAGAGCAGCTGGCAGCCATCCTGTCACCATGAGTACAAAGGTTGTTTGACAGTGGAGGTAACACAGAAAACAGAGAGAGGAAGGGAAAGAGAGAGGGGGAGAGGGGGAGGGAGGGAGGGAAAGAGAGAGGGAGGGACAGTCTTGATGACTATGCTTGAGACCCTGGATCCCACTGTGCCTGACTCACCCGGACTCCTCAGTAACGTGCTTAGGGCATTTTGAAATGGGATTCTGTCATTTGCCGTTGAAAAAGTCCTATACATTCCTGAACAACTTAAACTTTTATCACTACCATGATGGATGTGAATCATCTCAGTCCCTAGAGAAAGCAGATAGCCATGGACGTGGCACATAAATACCTCTCTTCCAGTCTGCACCTCCATCGTGTATCTTAGAGGCCTTTGAACCTGCATGTCTTCAGATTAGAGTTACCAGTCCCCCACCAGGTACATGCTATTATCATTAGAACTGACTCTGGATTCCTCCTTTCTGCTTTCCTCACAGTTCCTAGGACAGTGCAAGGCAGTGACTCGGGAAAGATCTACTGTGATGCCCAGACTTCAGGGTATAAAAGCTGTAGATAGTTCCATTGTGCTGGACATGCTGAATTCTACAAAGAATCCCTCCCAGTGTGTCCTCCCAAATCCACTAGCATCCACTGGAGGGAAGTGTGTGGAACCTCACTAATAAATCCATATCTCCAGTACTTTCCTCCTGCTTAAGGAGAGAACTTGCCCATAGATACTGGTCACTCACTGAGCATCATGATCAGTAATTCAGCATTCAGTAATCCACTGAATTCTTAGCAAAACTGATGACTGTATTAAAAATGTTGATGACTTCATTTTTTAAATATAATTTATTGCCAAGTTAGCTAACATACCGTGTGTGCAATGTGCTCTTGGCCTAGGGTGTAGATTCCCATGATGCATCGTTTACATACAACACCCAGTGCTTGTCCCAACCAGTGCCCTCCTCAATGCCCGTCACCCATTTCCCCCTCCCCCTCCACCATCAACCCTCAGTTTGTTCTCTGTATTTAAGAGTCTCTTAGGGTTTGCCTCCCTCCCTCTCTATAACTTTCTTTTTTCCCCTTCTCCTCCCCCATGGTCTTCTGTTAAGTTTCTCAAATTCCACACATGAGCAAAAACATTATGATATCTGTCTTCTCTGACTTACTTCACTTAGCATAATACCCTCCAGTTCCATCCATGTTGTTGCAAATGGCAAGATTTAATTGTTTCTCATTGCTGAGTAGTATTCCATTGTATATATAAACCACATCTTCTTTATGTTGCTGACTTATTCTGCTGAAATGTGCTTTCCATCTACATGGTGGTGCAGCTCTACCAGTAACGAGTTGAGTGACTTTGGAAAGTGATGACCCTGAGTCTTAGTTTCCCTTTTGGTAACATGACTTTGGAAAGTGATGACCAAAGTTGGGCTAGGTCTGGATTGTAATATTAAATGCCTACAGGAGTCAGACGGATAATGGAAGCATCTGAGGCAGGCTGGGTAGAAGACCACAGGGTTGGTGGAGTCAGCAAAGTAGAGAAGGCAGTTTTTGAAAAGCACTCAAATTCATTAAAAAAAAAAAAAAAAAAAAAAAAAAAAAAAAAAGTGCTCTGATTAAATAAAACATATCCCTAGCCTTGAAGCCAGCACATGGGCCATCAGTCATAACAACCATGGGTTAGGTAATCGTAAGGTACTTCCCAGCTGTGACATTCTCTAAGTCACTCTGTTATATCCAGGAAGAGGGGGTGGGGCAGGCATTCCAGACAGATACATGGGATCCCAGAGAAGGCTGACAAATTTTCCCCAGACACACTGAGGATACAAGCCAACCAGAAGACCCAGGTATCCCTCCCAGGTATCCCTCCTAACACGTTTCCAAGTGCAAATCCACGCTGTCAGCAAAGCCACGTTCTCTCTGGGAGTCACTTGAAGGTTTTCCAATATACTTACCGTATCACTCCACTGACACAAAACTCAGCTCTAACTGGGTCCATTAAAGGAAGCCCCTGAGTTTAGGAAAATAAAATCCTACCTCAGCTCTGTCTGGTGCTAATTATATAATAATATTAAATTGCAGACACTTAACCCTGCTTAAACCTTTGAATTTTAGGTAACTTCTACGAGAACTTATGTGCTAGCCAAGACTAACTCACTCAGAGAGACAAAGAAACAAAATTCAGGTGTTGAGGACATGCAAAAGTTTTCTTTCCATAGGCCAGCCTTTTAATTTTGTGTTCCATTATGTGGGAGAATAGCATTGTCTTGCAATTTTAATGTAATGTCCCAGACCATAATATCCAAATACAATATTTATGCAGTAATCTCCAAAATGAAATATTCATGGGGTGGGAGATTGGTTGCTATATTTACTTGCATTTGAAAACTGATAAGCTGCAAATGCATGCTTTGGTTAATTATGAGTAAACAGAGACAAACAATCCCCCCAGGTCTCAGTTCCTGGGTTAAGAGGGGCGTCTGGACTGGGATAAAGTGGCAGAGGCCCAGAGTCTGGGTATTTAGCAGGGGAAAGGAATCAACTGCTTGGACAGTGATTTGCATTTTGTTTTCTACCCTATGCATTTGCCATCTCTTGAAAAAGGGAATGGCTGGAAATCAAGGTAAGTAGGCAAATACCTGGGTGTGCCTTTTCATAAATGTTGGTTCAGCAGTCAAGGGTGTGTGATTCTCTACCTGAGGGGTGGAGAGATTTATTTAAGCACTGGGCCAAACACACAGAAGATGACCAAAGACACTCTCTTATATTTAGCTTCATTTCCAGATGATTTGATTATGTGAGGGCAACCGAGTCAACAGGTGGAATTCAGAGCAGACAAAAAAAGGATCTGGGTACTAATGATGACTCTGTCTTCACAGATGGGGAGATATGGGGTTGGCTTGACTCTCTGGAATGCCAGTTTCCTCATCTGGAAGATGAGTTCCATGACACCTGTGCTGACACCCTCCTGAATCAGCTGTGAAAGGCTGACAGATGAGGTTTACAAAGGTCCTTGCTAAGTATTCAGTAAGCACTATTCA